TTATGTGCTTAAATATATTGCCCATTTCTTTATTAGATTCAGGAACAATAATAAAAACTTTATTTTTATAATATTGTTGCCAACATTAATAATAAATAATGAGAAATTTTCAATAAATTTGCATTATTTTTTCATCCTGATATCTAAACTTTTAAAAAAAGATGTTGGAAATTTTGTTATGTTGTAAGAGATCAAGTAAACCCGAACCAATCTCAGTTGTGATATGCAGAAAGTTTGTTGTTACCAATAATTTACGGCAAATGTCTTTATTGATGTTGTTTATTAGCTTTATGTGTTTTACTGTTAAGGTGGCCATTGACTGTTGACTTTTGTATCCAATCAACAGAATGGTCACAAACATTACGAAATAACATTCCATCATCAATGTGAAATTCACCAGGACTTTCTTTTATTCTATTATTGATTGTAACCGGTTATTGTACTTCTTCTATTACTATTAATTATTGATTATCAAGTTACATTATTAAATTCTTTTTTTTTTAATCATCTTCAGTAGTGTTTTTATTCATTGTATTTGGATATACAAATACAAAATACTAGTAACAAACAAATCAATCAATCAATTCCAAAAAAAAATTTCATCTCTATTATGTGCTTAAATCTATTGCCCATTTCATTATTAGATTCAGCAACAATAATAAAAACTTTATTTTTATAATATTGTTGCCAACATTAATAATAAATAATGAGAAATTTTCAATAAATTTGCATTATTTTTTCATCCTGATATCTAAACTTTTAAAAAAAGATGTTGGAAATTTTGTTATGTTGTAAGAGATCAAGTAAACCCGAACCAATCTCAGTTGTGATATGCAGAAAGTTTGTTGTTATATTATTCGTATCAATAACATTAACTGTTCTTGTCATATTATCAATCGGAGTAAATAATGATACACCAACTATTACAAGAAAGTATTCTTCAATGGATAAGTTCCCTGTACCAGGTGAAGCTAATTGGTTAATGAATCAGCTTATCATATATAAGAATGTTGAGTAATGACTTTTCAACTGCATAATATCATTGTATAGTTGTTTACTTCTCATCTAGTTTTCAATATAAGATAAGATGTTTCTACTCCTTCAACACCACAACTGGTAAAATTATATTATATGCGATGCACTATACATATATTGTATCATTTATATCAATTACTTAATCAATTTAGGTACTATAAATAATGAATATGTAAATCAACCTACTTATGATAATAGCAGCAATTCCTGGAAAGGAAGTTTTTCTCCAGATAATTTATCATTTATCATTAGTGGTGATCGTAACAAGACTCAAAATCAAGGGGAT